AAGTTGTCATGAAGATTATGTTGAAAGGATGTATGGAAAAAAGTATTATACAAGAAATTACACTGATAATTCATATAAGATACTTTCATATCGTCTCAATAATGGATGTTAGAGAGAGTAATGTACAATATCAGATAATCATGGAGTATTTTGAATCATCGAACCTATATGATATAGTGTTTGACACAGAGATTTCAAAGAAATACCGTCTTGATTTGTCAAACAAGCAGTTGATTGCTCATCACGTTTGCTCAGCACTACCATATCTTCCCTTACAAGACACTCCAATAATCTATCGTAATGTCAAACCTTCTCAAACATCGCAACTTTGTCACGAAAATATGTGAACGTGGGCTAGGGAAGTGTGATTTACTGATAAACAGTTTGGAGTCTAAAATGTAAGGTGGTATGTGCGGTACATACATGTATATGTCTTCAGAATTGTTTTTACATTGAAACGAAGCCACTACAGCTTCCGATGTATGGTCATTCGGTTGTTGTGTGGTTAAATTGTTCACTGGAAAGTCTGTGTGGAACACGACAAATTACGGTTGGGATGTGTATAGATGCGTAAGGCAAAATTTAAAAAGTAAAAATGTTCCTGCAATAGAAGGTATGCCTCATTCAATTTAAAAAAAAATTCTCCTATGTTTTAAGTATAATTTAAATAATAGGCCAAACATGATAGAATTGATTACTGTATTTTTTAAATCAGATGAAAATGTATTATGTTACTTAATAGCAGTTAGGTTGATATTTAAAAAATGTGTTCCTATTACATTGTTATTTGCCTAATTATTTATGCAATTATTACTGGTATCTGATTAATAAAGTATTTACCAAGTGGATTAAAAAAAAAGATTTTATGAAGTTTGAATAAATCCAATTTATAAACAATTTAAATGTTTGCCTCAAAAATAAGTGTATGGTTGCTTTTTATTCCACAAGTGCTCTGAGTTTTCTTTCATTTAAGGTGAAAAATGTCGATTAAATCATGTAATAATATAAATAATTAGTTGTGTATGTTTTTAAATACAATAAATAAGAATACAAATTTTTTTTTTATAGCTTTATTAAGCCTGCGTACGCAAATATTTATGAAAAATGATAAAAAATTTCGTTAGCTTCAATGATATTCATAACTTTAACAAAAAAATTAAACGCATCTTCTGCTATACAGATCGCAAGAGAGGATTGAGAAATATTGCTATGAACTTAACGAGTTCTGGAGATGCTAATTGTGGTTCAGTAGTGTATTCCTCCTGAAGATATTCAGCGTATCTGAAGTCCACTGGCTGTCTGCAATCACGAGTTTTAAACGTGCTTGGACTATGAAATAACTCATTTGATTTTCCATTAATATTATTGACATTATTTTTGTTTCCTTATTTGGTGTTCATTCAACTCTTTTTTCGTTAATATCAAATCTTTTCTTATTACAGGTCCAAAACAGTATCTGAGGCCCTCTATGTACACTGGAGCATTCACATCCACAAGCTTTGCACATTCCATTAGTTTAAATACAGACGTATAAGAATCACCCATATGTTGTCAAAACTGTCTTCAATAAGCCTTAATCCTTTGATTGTGGGTGCTTTTACCCTTCATAAAACTAAATGTTTGATCAAATTCATTATCATGATGGTACCGTAGGGCAATCTGAATATTTTCCATCACACCAACCTCTGTACCATGGTCTGTTCTAATTATACTAGGCAAAAATCTATGCTTTTGTTTCAGCTGGCAAAGTAATATCCAATTACTTTTGGATTGTTATTGGAAGATGCTACTTCTAGCGACAAAAGTTCTTTGGAGAATCCATGAATGAATCCGTAAATGGCAAATCCAAATTTTTTTAACTTATCGTGGCCATCAACGTGCACCATAAAATTTTGACTAAGGACCGTGTACACTCTCCTTTTTAATCTAGGTTTTTGCCTTTCATCAACTCCTTGTGGATCTAATTCATTTGAAATTCTTAGTACAGTACTTTATTTGACTTGTAAGTCATATAGTTTTTTCAATCTCAGCTTCATTTTTTCCGAGTTTAGTCACTGCTACATCCTCGACTGTACAAGTTCGACTCGCATCCTTGTTGCTTGCTTGCTACCTCACTTGCACGCATGCAATTTTTCGCAAAATAATGCATGCTTTCGACTTTACGCACAGATGGTACATAGGCGCTTCCGTAGTTTGGGGCTAGCGAGGTGGTAAGCTCAGTTTAGAGGGTGCTAGAGAAAAGAGCCTTCAGTTTGCAACAGAAAGAATATCTACATGTATTTGTTCTAAAATGGCGCTACATACACAGATATACTTTATTTCCTAAAATACTATAATCCCATTGGTTAAAGATTTTTTGAGCTGAGTTTGCCACTTTACTAGAGGAGGTGGAGTCTTTGTATTGAAGGTATATGTCATTCACCTGATTTGATGTCAAAAATAGTGCACAGCAGGTTCTGTTAGAATACTGCACTCTCAACAATAGCTTTCTATCATGAGAAATAAATAACTAATGAAAAAGGTTGATAATGATGATTTCTGATAACTATATGCTTTTAAAACTTGGGTAGCAAATTTCATATGTTTCAGGTAACAAACCAGTCCTGACCTTCCACAAGCTCTGGGAACCAATAGACTAACTTATTTAATCGTGTACAGAGCTGGCCTAGAAATTTCACAGCATACCTTCTGACTAGCTAGTCTAAATCTGCAACGGATTTTCAGAAGTAGATTCCAAGGTCAAAGCCTACGTGACTTTCTGCACGTTTTTCGGTCTATGTGAGAAGCCAGCATAGTTAAGAGGAGTCAGTCTATATCTTACATTTGTCCATGGCGAATCGTTCCAGATCCATAAGCGTTCAATGTGATCACGTACAAAATCAGATGGCGAGTACTTTGGTGTTATTCATAAGTTATTGGTGTCAGTCAAATGAATTATTGTATTCCTCTGAAGAGTTTCACCAGGTACCTAGAAATAATTTTCATGAAAAAGCTACTTTGGAATAAAAGATACCTCGAGCTTCAGCACCTAACCAAGTAATAAACCTACTGCTGAAGGCCAACTGGAGGTTAGAACATACTATCTACATCTTCTTGCTCCATGCCCAGAGCCCTAGTCAGGACAGTTTTGCGCACTGTAAGAAAGAGCGCAGTAGGCTATCACGCACACTTCTATAGTGCGCTTTACATACTGTGCAATGTTTTTGAAGGTATTGGAATACATCCAACAAAACATAATAGTAGAATCGCATTTCCTTAATTAAAGCAACCGTATATTACGCACCTTATGAGCAAGGAAAAGAATGTCTTGGATTTCACGTAAATAAACGCCCAAGGTAAAGCTGAGGGTATTAAAATATAAAATCTAATGCATTTCTTAACCACCAAACGTGGAGAGTATATCAGTTTTTATGAATCCTGCGCCGAGAGAAGGAATTTCTTCGTCCTGAATCGGGACGAAAGTTCCTTCTTTCGGCGCAGTATGGTAAAAAAGTTATGTCTACTGATGCGCATTAATATCGTGCACTTTCAGTAATCTAACTGGAGGGAGCTTCTCGGACAGTATCCCAGAATTCGAATGATGCTATAAGGAGAGTTTGAATATTAATACTATAGGAAGAGTACTAAGCTATGTGTCTTAGGAACCGCATGACGTAGTAGCTATGTTCGTTCACCTACTTAAACCACCTCTGAAAAATCATTGTGTCCATAAAAGGTTATGAATAACAGATTTTTTGTAAGATTTTTTACAATCAAGTATACTGATGATGAGAAACAGAAAATATCTGAAATTTGACTGACGAGTGATATCATTCCATGTTGAAATTTTAAACATCTTTTGGAGGTTCAATTAGAATTGTTTAAATAAATATAAAATAACTAAGTTCTCATAAATGAGAAATTACCATATCCAATCCTAATATCTTGACTCACCTGTACTTTAAATTTTTTCACTAGATTTGAGAAACGATCTCAGTTGTGTTGTGTCAAAAGTGTAACATTATATTGCATTTAATCCCATATATGGCCTGAGAAATGAGTAAATAAGTTCAAAAATTTTCGATTTCTCGTTACCAATAAACTGTTCAAGATTTAATTTTTTAAGGTGCTAGCACTAGAACTACTAAAAGGTACTTAGGAGTGAATGTGTTATGTATAATTACAAGAGAAAATTAATATCAATTAACAATGTAGTTAAAGTTTAGCTGTTAAGATAATGTAATAGAATCAAACTAAGTTGATTGAAGTAATTTTTATTACATTATAAGTAATGTATAATCTACACTAATAGGCATACAATAAAATGACAAATATTATACAAGAAATATGGTACACATGACTACTAAATACATAAATTGCAAGCGAATTAAAACTGATTTCAACAAAAAAAGCTTTTCCTAACGACTGACGAGTTAAATATTAAAAATAAATGAAAACAGAATAGTATGTTTTTTACCTAAGGCAGAAAGTGAAACTTGCGTACTCGAAGGACACGGTTGTTGTATGTTTCTGCCCGAGGAAAGAACGGAATTTTTATACCAAGTGCAACTTTGCGTCCGTGGGCACACTTTCCGTCTACCAGTTACTTTCCGCCCTTGAGTGGGAACAAACTTTGGGCCTGACCAGATCAGAATGTTTCTTCCCACCCGTGGATGGAAAGTAATTAGCGGGCGGAAAGTGTGCCCTCGGGCAAAAAGCACTGCGCCAGAGAAATGAAAAATTAATTTAAGACCAAATATGAAGATATCAGGCATATGATTTCATAAGGTCATTGAAATATTTGAGAGAGAAAGCTTTAAAGTTCATTTTGTCTTACTACGACTAGTTTTTGTGAGCTGAACAACGGCGTAAATTTTTAAACACGAAAGGATTCTTCGAGATGTGGGTTGAAATACATCAAAGTATAACTAGATAATGCACAAATACGGATACGTTTCAGGTGGTGATGCTCATACGGTGGTGCCATGCAGGGCAACAAGCATGCCCGAGAAGACACCTACCTGACATCACCGCCAACGCAGGACAAATTATCAGGTATAGGTGAGTTTTGCATCGTTCCATGAAGTCCAGAATTAGTTACTCCTTGGGCACCCGTCGCCACAGGTGGAGCTGGACTCTGGTAGCTTCGTGACATCTGCTGCTGGACTTGCGTTTGTTGCTGCTGATGATTGGAAATAGAGTTGAGTGGACCTCCTGGAGTTGGAGGTGCTGAGCGACTGTTATGCACACTACCAGGTGGAAGTGGTGGTGATTTTGTGCTACGTGGAGAGTTGTTTGGTGTTGAGCGTGGTGATGCTTGGTGGATCTAAAAACCAAAAGTATATCTTCCTTAATTGTGATGTATCCCTAATACATTTTTAAGGTAGTTGGTAAACATTTACTATTTAATATGTACAAGCTATATTGATTTTGTAATAAGTCAGAGAAAGCTTAATAAAAAAAAAAATAAAAAAATTTAATATGTATAATTTCAGTTTTTAATCATTTTTTCTGTAAATATTTTTAATTTTTAAGCAGGAGACAGAAGCAACGATCTAAAAAAGATATTTGTAGAATTTCAAAGTATCTGTTTGTTCCAAGATCTGAGAACAAAGTTTTTAAAATTTGATGTGAATTTAGCTCAGTGCAAGACTTTAATAAATATTTGAATTAAAGTAAGTAAAAAGATTTTTTGAAAAATAATTCTTCAACATTGGCCCTTGTGGTATCTTATGATTTTATTATAGAGAGAAGTAAGGTGGATGTCCCAGTACTCGCTCACTTAAGCAGACGAAATGTCCCAATAGTCAGTCACTTTTTTTCGTTTATGGGCCTTCGTTATATTTTTAATTGGGTTTATACATTAACTTGTATTGAAAGAGTAATTGCTTAGTTTCTAAATAGCTACCCGATTCATATATGTTTTGAAAATTTACAGTGAAAAAATCAGCCAGATGACCGACTATTGGGACATGACCGAGTACTGGGACATCGACCTTAATGGAAGTTTTCGTATCTGGTTGCGCACGTTGCCAGCGCAAGCACCAGGCTAAGCTAACCTGCTTCGCAGGTCCTGAAGGACACCTTGTGCTTGCTTTGGTTAGATGCGAACCCTATTTATTTTACTGAGGGCTCACCAGATCCTCAAAAACGCTCGAGGTAGCAGATAGTATATTTCTTACCTAGGGCAGAAAGTACAACTTGCGTACCCCAAAGGGTACGGTTGTAGTATGTTTGTGCCCAAGGTGAAAGTGTCATTGTTTGTATTAAGAGCCCAAAGTGCAACGTTGTGCCCGTGAGCACACTTTCCACCCGCTACATGGAATCTTATAAAAAGCGGTATTTATTACCTTTTATAAATGAATGAATAAGTAACAAAGAATATTTGTTCCATTTAAAGAGATTAGTACTTGGAGAATATGATACCTCATACCTTCTCGTGAATTTCAAGTTAAGTATTTTCTGAATCTAGACTCCTGATTTTTATTATAATTTTTTTTCCGAATTTTTGACGCCATTTTCATTACAAAAATAGTTATTGAAGATGCAAAAAATTAAATTGTATCCCGTGGACCCCAAAACAATTTCTATTGGTCAAAACCTTCGTGACGTCAGAAATACGAAAACCGCCCTCCCTTAAGCTGGAGAGGACGTAAAAAGTATGGTTTTTTTAAATTAATTTTATTGTATTTTCGGGATTTTTTTTTCAGAAAAAAGTGATCATAAGTCTAAAATATGTATCACGGGCAGATCACTTTTCTGAAAAAATCGGCCTTAAGTGCGAAAATAAAGGTCATACAGTTATTTAGTCTTATTTCTATATCTATATGTATACTTAATCATAAAACTGCTCTTATGTCGAACTTAATATTTTAGATTAATTTGAGATTTCAGGGTACATAAGGCGCCTTCTTTCGTGACACATACGTAACTTACAGAATCTTATCTCCATAACTTTTCCTCACAGATCTTTAATTATAGGAATGACTGATTTTCTAGAAAAGTGAACACACTGAAATTTAATACATTTATTTACACAACACTTCTCAGCTCTCGTGCTTTTGATACATTAAAATGATCATCTTCTGTCGTTCAGTTACAAGTCATCCTCTTATCAACTATTGGAAGATTTTTTGAGTCATCTTAAGTAAAATCGCAAGTAAAATTGGCATTTTTTTTATATTAGCCATCGTGTAATGTGTATATATGTAGAAATAAGGTTAAGCAACTGTACAATTTTTATCATCGCACTTAGTGCCGACTTGTCAAAAAAAGTGATCTACACATCATATATATTTAAGACTCAAAATCACTCTTCAATCGAAAAAAATCTCAAAAATATAATGACTGAACAAATAAAAACCAAACTTTGTTTGTCCTCTCTAATTTGAGGACAGGCTAACTATGTTTATGTATTCGTGACGTTACGAAAGTCTTGACCAATAGAAATCGTTTGGGGGTCCACGGGATACAACTTAATTTTTTGCATCTATAATATTCATTTTTGTAATGAAAACAGCATCAAAACATTCTGGAAAAAAAAATTATAATAAAAATCGGAAGTCCAGTTTCAGAAAATAATTAATTTCAAATTCATGAGAAATGTTAGTTATTAGATGATGAAAAAAATTAAATCTATGTTAAAAGTATAAAAAAAACCTTCTGCGTATATTTTAAGATAAAACGAAATTTAACAAAAGCTATCACCTGTGAGGTGAGTCATGGATGAACCATCCTAAATATAGATTGCTTCCATCACATTAAATATTGAAAATATTTAATTTACACTATTCTTTTCCTTTAATTACTGCAAAAATTTTCAGCGAATAAAAGAGTAGATTTTATATTGTTACCTTATTTTTACCAAGATTTTAGAATAGCGTTTATCTATATTATCAGAAAATATAGGATGTAAACATTATCACAGGTCATTTTTCGATACTTGTAAGAAAAACTTACATAAAAGCTTTGGTCTCAGAATTACATGTAAGTTACAGGGCTTTTGTGCTTAAAACGTAGATATAGGAGTAGTTAAAGCAAAAACCTGGTATAGTAACAATCACATAAGCTGTGGACTTAGTTCTTCAAATAGTTGAAGGAAAAAAAAAGAGAGTATTTTTGTCTATAGTAGCGTGAAAGTGCTACGAAGTAAATTTTAGAAATAAATGAAGCCTTGATATCATTACTACGCAAACGTACTCTTGAGCTTTTTGTATTTAGGTATTTATGTGATTATTCAGTTCATATACTTATAAGCAAGAACATAGTTCTAAAAAGATTCGAAAATTACTTGCTACATTTTTAAATCTTTCTTTGCCATCATTGAAAAATTGACTAAAAAAAAAAAAAAAGTAGCTTGACTGTCAAGAGGGATAAGGGTTACGAGCCCAATGATCGATTTCTGTGTCTACTGTTGAGAGTCTTCAAATAAATTATAATGGAGTTATAATAAAAGTAACAATGGAGTAAGTTGCTATTGTTAAGCATAAATTTAAAAATATATTAAGTCATTGAGCTTATAAAACCGAAAAATCAAAATTTGCTTTCAAACTGCACTCTAACCATGAGTGATGCCATTAAAACTGAAATTTTTGATAACAATTTGGGGGCTTGATCTTTGACCCACAAGCTTATGATCTTATGCAGTTATGACATCCTGAGAGCTTAGAAAATCAAGCAGCTCAAAGTCTCCGTAGATAAGGGTATAGGTAAAAATAAGATGTACTCAATAATTACGTTAAAGATACACACACGAGAACTATAAAGTAATGTAGCCCATATAAACTTCTCTATATATGTGTGTAGATCAAATATGAGACTTGGCTTGTACTTAGTCAAAAATCAGAGAGACATAACTTATGTGGGAATCAGTACAAAATAAGAAAAAATACGCCAAATTTAGCGGGTTCTCTTAAGTAAAAAAGCTATCAGCGTACTTTTTCAAAATTAGAAAAAATGCAAAATAAAACAAAATGTTAAAATACCAAGTGGGTCAAGAGACACCGAACAAAAATAAGGTTCTAAAGGCACGTGCAAAAAAAAGAATGTACCACAAAAACTAATAAAAAATCAATATTAAAAATAAGTCTATAAGATTTAGCACTAGTAATTGTTTCCTCCTTTATAAGACTCATCAAAATTTTATTCTTAATCTATTTTTCTTTTTTTTGAGTTAAAGAACCTTTTTTACTTTTTGCAAATTATGTTATCATATAATCATTCTGAAATAATGAATGACTTTTTATTATTTTTCTGATCATGCTTTGAATTTTTTTTTAATGTTCATCCCGATTTTTTACAAACTATATCCAAAATATAAGAAATTGAGGTTACGTCGTAATGTAAGCGACAACCTTTCTATATGTTGTGCCCCTGGATGTTTTATTATTTTTAAATAGAACCCGTAAGAATACATTACACATAGCCTATTTTTTTCCTTTTCGAGCGTTTTCTCTGCCTTATGAAGGTTATGTTCTAAAAAAATTGTTCGAAATAATATGTGCACGTTGAAATGATTATTATTAACGTGACGTCATTTTGACAATAAAGCTTATTAATTTTTTAATCAAAATATATCTAAAATAAGAAGAATTATGATCATATTATTACATTGACCAACACCTTAAGAACAACTCATTTCAAATTTTATGCTGCTTTTATTTTGCGTACTCTGAAATATAATATTTTTCAAAGATTATTACGGCAATGTTATTACAATAGTATATTAAGGTAAATTTGGTACGTATGCATATATTTTCCAAACATGCAGTATTATTTTTATAACTTTTATACTTGATTTTATCATGATATATTAAAAAAAAGTAAGGTTATGGTGTCGTAACTAATGACTTATGTTAGAGTACTTCACTAGTGCTACCGTCTAACAAAAGCGTTGAGGTTAACTTGTGCCTCTTTTGTTTTAATATGAATTATGCATAGTGCTCCACATGTATATTTAAAATACATACATATTGTGTTTATTTATTTATGTATTATATAGTTAATTGCGTGGACCAATTAACACGACCCTCAATTACCCTCTATGGCTTCCAAGTATCCTCTGCAGCACCCTACAAACTCGTCAATCAAGGAGAAAAAAAGACGGACTTAACTAATAAAAAATGTTTCTATCTGTATTCTTACTCTGTCTAAAAGAGAAATAGATACAATTGATGTATTACTAATAATAAAAAACATAGAATCATCATAAGTTAAGTACACTGTAAAAATTGTTTAATAATTTTACTACTAGCGTTGGAAATATTGTGTCTTCCAACATTGGCTAATATATATATCCAATGTAGTAACATTACAAAAACTTTTTACTGTGTCGCGTGGTTGCACCATATACAAGTTAGAGCAGACGACACATAACACCATGCTATTATAAACGTCTAATTTCGGCTCTCTGATTTTAAAAATTAAAGAAAAAATATTTAACATCACTGTAACCTTAACGTTTTGCAGTTATCAGGCCTTAATAGCGTTAAACTACAACTTCCGAAGAATTATGACAAGAAAAGTCTTTCAATATCGTTATTAAGAGATACGTAGATGTCATATGTTCATTTTTAAGATTCTCCAATGTTACGTCCCGACTGGAAGAAACTCTCTGACTCTGAAGTTAACCCCGAGCGAATGAGTATTAAGAAGACTCAACACACAAAGAAAGAAAGAGATTCATAGGTATGAATATTGCTGTGTGCGTAGTGTCTAGTGTGCTGTTGAATGCAAGTATACACGTATGTATGTAAGTGTAACTTGTGTACAATAAAAGTATGCATGTATGTGTGTGTGTAATGTTTAGCTGTCTACTTCTATACAGCTTCTGCTACACAGGTTTTACTGTATACATGATTGCATATATGTGTATATAATCCATCCATAGATTAATTAATGTTATTACTTTAATAAATTAAATTACCGAAATAATTCTTCATGCATAGCAGATCGTTACAAATAGCCAATATTAATTCGACGGCCAATATTGATTTTTATCATGGAACGTAACCTCCAAGTATTAAAAAATATGTCATATCTTGATGTGGAAGCAAGATGGACCAAAAATAATGATTTTTACGGATTTCCTAAAGAGAAAAAAATATTGGGGCGCACAAAAACGGAGACGTTGAGTTATGTGAAAACATAACCTAAATTTTCAATTTTTTTGATGTACCTTTATGTACTGAAGAGAAAAAATTTTGGGGAAAACTATTTAAACTATGTTTAGTACAGAGTGACAACAATGCAGAAATATTTTATCATGACCATGCGTGCACATAACCTCTAAATATTAAAGAATACACCATATCTTAGAAATATGCAAGATTGACTAAAAATAACAGTTTCCTCAAGGTGTTCATGGAAACAAACATCGTAGCACACAGATAGAGAGGTGTTAAGTTATGTGGAAACATGACCTCAAATATTAGTGTTTTAGATATTTCTCCATAAAATCAAACTGGAAAATTATAGAAAAAATTATAGCATATTTGCAAAATCATCACAGATATGTAGAATATAAATTGCTTACCAAATATAATCTTAACCATTATTTAATAAGTGTAAAATTGCTAACAAGATGCTAGATGAATAAAACAAAAATAATAATTTTGATATGTGCACGCGTATGGGTAATTTTAATTTCAATGATCATTATGTCAGTCTACTTAACACAATATTGGAACTTTATGGTCAGTATAAGAACAATACGCTTTCTAGACACACACACGAATGACTATGTTTATAAACATACATAACCTTTAACGCCTCACATTTTCATTTACGAACACTCTTTCTGTATGTTAATTCATACTTATTTAGATTATTTTTGAAGTTCTCACTTCTACGGTATGTCATGTGTGATGCACCCTGTTTTTTATCATACATTAACTGCAAGTAGGGTTACTTATCTACCTTTGAAAACAGTGAGTATTATCACCTATGTTTCTTACTTTGCTCGAAACAAGATCAGTTACAAAAAAAATTATGATTTGTTTTAAAGTTAATTTGAGATATGTAATAAGTAAATGAATAGTACTTATACATATTTATATCAATTAAAATAGAAAAAATACTATTTTAAAGGTACAGTCTTTTATCCACAATCTATTTTTATCATTGCGATTTCTCAACATGTTTAAATACACGTGGAACGAAAATAGATATTTAACTAAAGTACCACTAAAATGTGAGACTCCAGATAATACTGTCTTAATAATTACAATTTATTATGTGAGAAGTGTGGTTGAACAACCATCATGAGATGCAGTTGGTGTACAACGTCGTTATGCATAAATCACTTCTTTGGATTAGATAGTGATGACTTTAAATAAGTACAAAAACAAGAAATAAATAAAAATTACTAAAAAACCAAAAAAAAAGTGTGAGTATGCACTCACCATCTTCACATGGTTATTCCTGGGTACAGCTAAGTGCGAGTTTCTATTTTGATAAGTACTAATTGTAACTTTATTTATTTACTTATTAGTTGTTTTAAATGTAGTTTTAAGCAAATCACTTTTTTTAAACTTATCTTCCTCAAATAAAAGTAAGGTACACAAGTTATAGTACTCACTGTTCTCAGGGACAGGTAAGTTACTCTGCTTGTGGTTAGGCAAGGGTTATTTTTAATGTTAAGGTGAGCTAAAGCATAGGTGGTTAGAAGGATTAGCCTGCTTCTGATGTGTTATTCAATTATTTCAAGAAAAACAAGCAACTAAACTCACTGTTCCTACGATTAGGAACATCAGCCTACTTATGAATTAGCAGGGGTGGTTTTTAGGGGTTACAACAGGTAGTGAGGTGGATTAACTGGCATTATGTGTGCAGTTTAATCATTTAAAAATAATTAAGCCACTACATTCCCTTCTCCCCGGGTTAAGTGGGTTAGCCTATTGTTCCGTAGAAGTGGCTTTGCAAGAGTAGTTTCTACCCTTAAAAGTAAGATAGGGTGAAAATAAATCGTTGATGTAAAACTTTTTTCAGCCAACTTCATAGGTTAATTTACGGTTAATATACAATTGCCAATCTCCATATTTTCTTAAAATTTAGTTTTTTCATAGTTAATGTAGATTCTCAGTAAACGAATTAAAAAATTTGAATACAATTTATTGATCTATGATTTCATAACTTTGGAAGAATAGGAATTGGCTGAGTAATTTGGGTATAAATAATGTTTGTTGTAGGATCATGTTCTTATTGTAAGTATATTTTATGTACAAAGTATATAAATTTGTATTTAAAAGCAACAAACTTACGCGTATCGTTATTAAGCTACTTCTAATATTTATTATCTTATAAAAAAAAATTTTTAAGAATGACATCAAATACATGTTTATATTTAAACATTCAATTTTGTTTGAATAGTTGATACTGATCTCACTTTTTTGCGATCCCAAAATTTGGTGTTAATATATAATAAAGAAAGTTGAGTATTGAATACTCATGATCAAATCGGATGAGAAATCGTGCAGAAATTCTTTTCTTTTTTAAAAATATTTGACGTTATTAGGCTGTACATGTTATGTCTGTGCTATAGTTTATACATTATTTTTACTTCTTATTGAGTATTTAATTTCTTTCATGTGAAATTTTTGTCTTTTGGTGGTCACAAAAATTTAGCTATAAAATTGTATGTGATTTTTAACCAATCCTGCAAAGTGGAAAGCAAGTTTCTTGTTTTAGTGCAGCATGGTGAAAAAAAGCTATAACTTGAGGGAATATTTTGAAAACTATTTTTGATTTTTTAAATTCGTATTGTGGTATTATATTCTTACGAACCTTCAACATTTTCATGAGACCTTCAAGTTGCACCATCAGTTGTCGCCTGGAGTCTTGCAAAGTTGCAAGGTGATTTTCGAGTTCGTCTTTCCGTTGTCGGAGAGCTCTTAGTTCTGACATAAGTGCTGGATTCTCTAATCCAGCAGCATCTATTTCTTGTTGTCTCCTAAAATTAAGTTTCTTATAAATTTGAAATAACACATTTTGAGGTTGAGTGTAGAAACAGATTTTTGTATCCTTTCTTTCTGATAAACTTAATTATTCAAATTAAGTTTAAAAAAGTTTTGATCATAAATTTGTGAAAACTTACAATATTTAAGAACTTTATTTATTTTAAGTGGAACTAATAAATTTAACTACTCTTCACAAGCTTATATTTTTAATAGCAACAGTCTGTTGTGTGAATCTTATCTTTGGATTAGTTTGAAATAATTAGCATAAGACCATACAACTGAAAAAAGCGGCTGTATAAAGTAAAAGTACGTAAATTAGTTAAAGAATCTCTTTAAAAACCATAAGTTGGCTTTAGTCTTAATGTATATATCTTTAAATTCATTAACTGATTAGTGTCATTTTTTAACATAGTAACTTGGATATAGAAAACGGTTTTTTAACATACCCCTGCAGAAACTACTAATATTTTTTCTGATTTCAAGGGTGAAAGAGCTATATCTCTGCTAAGTAAAAATTCATACGTACTGCTCATAGAAAAGTATCTCATTATCTTTTACATGGTGAAAATTTATACTGAAGGAGGAACTCCATACTATTTTCCCTTGGTGTGTAATATAAGTTCTATTTTTTGCCTAATTTTATGCATTTGAAAAATTTCCACTAACTATTAAAAATTTTTGGGCTAGTGCCGACAAAAATTAGAAAAAGCAAAAAAAAAATAATAATAGGTAGACTGGAACTATCAGAAAAATGAAATTTAGATTAAACTGAAAAAATAAATTGTGTAAACATAAAATGTTATTGGGAACCGTTACCATTCAGTAAAAAATATTCAACTCTAAACTTGTTGGTAATAAAAAAATCTAAGACTTTTGTATTAAACAGTTTTTGACAAGACCTCGAATTTTCCAAGAAAATAACGAAACACTGATTTTTCAGTTTTTATATTTTCTCACTTAGAAATTATTTCATTGACTTAAAAATTTGTGAGAATATATCTTTCGTTGCAATGAATAATCATGATTTTCTCGTGGATTTTCAAATACTTAAATTTTTTGAATTAACTACTGTAATTTTGCCTGAAAACTTAATCATTATTTTTAAAATATTTTAATGTTTAACAGGAGCTTATTTTAATCGTTAAAATGTCTAGTTTTGAATGGTCTACGTACGTTAGCGATTTATTTCTTATTAAATTGCTCAAAATT